ATTCTAGGTGGCACATCAGAGTGAGTTGTGAACAGTCCTAAAGAAAAAAATCAATTATTTTAGGAAGAATGTGTAGATCTATTATGAGACTGAAGCTTACCGCAATACCTTACCTTTGGCTCAGTCTCTGGGCCCAGAATGTAAGTTTATTGTTTTTGAAGTGGAAGGAGATCTAGTCTGCCCCACTCCATCACACAGGCTAAGAAAATCTGCTCAATCATTCCATGAGGTTGTTGGATGACAGTATATTTTTTTTAGCAAAGTATTTATTATTTATCTTAAATTCTTCAGATAATAGAAAAATCTGCCCCATCTAATGTCAAGTAATCCAGTGGAATCAATAATGGGCAAGAAAATCAGAGAAATCTGGCCTAGCTTTAACAAAATGTATTTGTTGATTTTGTACATATACTGTGTATAGCAACTTTGTTGCTCTTCCTCATTACAAACTTAAACAGAAGAGTGCAAAAACAAACTGAAAACCTTGTAATTAGTCAGGATATCAAAGGAGATAACGTGAATAAAACAAAACCATGACCCATCTAAAACATGCAGATTACAGGGTAACTTCACATATTTTAACTTTCTGATTGTTTGCATGGTTTATTAGCTTGTGTGGGAAAATAATGGAAGACTGGTGAGGAGGATTGTAAACACACTCTAGTGACTTGCAGCTGGGGTGTTGAAAAACACATATATCATACTAACTGTTCTTTGGCCTTGTGTATTGGACATCTGTGTTTAGATAACATAGGCCTGTGATAGAGGCACCCTTTCAAACATGCTTGAGATTCCTGCCCTGCTGTGGGAAAGATCAAAGCACGGTGGTAAACTACGCCTGGCTGAATCCTTGATAAACAGGTGAAAACAGCAGGTTTGTTGATCCTCCAGCATGGACTGAGCTCCGCAGTGCCTGCGTTCCTGCTTGTGTGCCTCTGCCCAGGTGCTGCTTCAGGGATCCCCCGTTGGCGAGGTGACAAAAGCAAATTTACTCTTTGCATATCATCTGTGGTTTTGTGGTTTTTCCTGCGTCCTGCCTGTGCTGGCTCACACAGCTTGGAAAGAATTCCGTGCAAGTGTCTGCTGCTTCCATTGCTTCTGATTCTGGGGCAGCCCATGAAAGCCAGTCTGAACACGCGTGCGTTCTAGTGTTACATATGGCTGGTGATACCAGTACAGCAACAAGCTTTGATTTTAGATAGACATGGCTTCTCAACTGTGCCTGTAATATCTTTGCAAAGCTTTAGGCAAAACACATTTGTAGCGTATGTCACATGTCCTCTCATGCTCCTAATTTGTGGAATCCAGGAAATTAATTTAGAGGTGACAGTAACTGAATTGAACAAAGGGTTAGTTGGAGAAACTTGCCAGACATCATGTTGCCAAGTGTATCAGGATATGGCTGGAATGAAAAGGATCTGGCATCTCTGTTTTCCGCATTATTGAGATAATTCAATTAGGTGATTAGAGATTCTTTTTATTCTATGAGCTGCAAATACATGGAAGTGCTATAAGAATGCATCACCTTACTATTGTAATTCTCTGTCATATCCCTAACCTCCAATGTCATATTATCTAGCACACGTTTGGCTCCTCTAACATTTTCTCATTGCAAGAAATTAAGCTGGAAAGAGCCTTGTCCATAACCTGGTCTAGCCTGACTTAAGGCATGTTCAGTTCTAGCACATGGATGCGAGTTTAGAGTCTGCAGTTTCCTATGACAGTTTATTTCAGTGTCTACTTTGTCATGTTATGTTTTTCCTCACTGCCTGAACTTAAATGGCCTCTGTTGCAATTGAATATCAGGCAACAGTATGATGATGTCACACACAAGGCAGACTCGTATGTCAGATATACAGAATGGGGTATTTACACTCCATGTCAAAGGGCTGAGACAATGCTGCATAATTTCTCTGCTGCCAGCATTCTACCTGAAACCATCTTTCCAATGTGTCCTGTTTTGAGGCGGTAAGTCATTGTTCGAGTGAAAGATGCAATTTTGGATTACAAAGTAGGAGCAGAGTTACAAGAAGTTAATGAAGTGCATTGTTAGTAGCGGTGTGAATCAGGCTGCCCACCCAGCTCTTACTTAAGATCGCTCTATGGGGTTGTCAGATTGTTGTCATGCTGGAAGTGAAAAGCAGTGAGTGTTTTCATTCTTGCTGTCTGAAAGAGTACCACTTTGGAGTACCACTTCTCGCTTTCATCATAGATTCTTCCCCCTCACCCAACAAACAGAAATAGTGAGAATGTGAATTTCTGAAATGAAATATTCTGACGTCTTTCTCCCCTTCTATAATGTAAGAATATAAATCAAATGCAAAAAAAAAGCTACAGGAGATGTCTTAAAAAATTTTATAAGCTCCTTAGTGTGCTTCCATTTTCTTCTGGCACTAAGTACATGAGCCGCTGTTAAATTTGTTTGCCAAGTTTTAGCCACTGCTAACCACTGTAGGGTTTGTAGCGAAAGGAGAGGTGTCTTACGTACTGTGCTCCTAATACTTGCCTTCTTCATCTGGCTCAACTTACTTTTCCAGTGTGCCACTGTATGTCCATGTACCTTAAGAAATAATTATTACAAGAATACATAAATATGATCCTGCAACATGTCTGCAGTCTTCCCTACAAGATCAGGTATGCGACCCACGTGGCGCAGCATGCACTGTGTCACTAATGCCTCCTATCAGAGGGGCCTCGGAAAGTTCTCCTAGAAAGCACGCTTCCCTCTAGCACTGCTTTACACCCACCTGTGCTGGAGTCCGAGTCCTACCGACATCAATACCGGACGGTCACGGTAAGCCACGAGCTAACGTTGCCCAATACCTGAGCGCGGCGGCCTTTCACCCTCAGCCTCCCTCGGAGCCTCCGAAGCCACCGCGGCTCCTCCCGCGCCCTGCGGCGGGCCTGAGCCGGGGAGAGGAGAGGCCCCTTCAGCAGCGCTCGCACTCGAAGAGCACGCGCTGGCTCTAACGGGAAAAATCGGTTAATACACAAGAAATCCCTAAATACTCACTTCAGCAAAGCGAACAACCGCAGCCAAACGGCTCGCAGGTGCAACAACCGAACGGACCTTGACGCGCCCTCAGCTGAAGAGGAAGCCGCCGCCGCGCCGGGGGGGAGCGGGCGGCA